ACATATAACTCTGTGGGACGTTAAAGAACCCACACACTGTTCGAAAAGAGTAGGGGACGTAGTTCCCGGTGTTGTGGTCTATCTTCATCACTTACATCATCACTCATCATGGGTTGGGAGGGTTCAGTGGGCTCATAAATGGACTGATAGCGGCTGCCATCGGCGCCCTTAGTATGCTGATGTCCGAGCCCACTGCAGAAAGCTATGTAAAGAGGACATGTATGTTTGTCCTCTCAATCGCGACATTTACATTTACATTTACATTTACATTACATTACAATTTATGTTACGATTAAAATATTCTTTACAATAAGATAAAAATTGAGAATATTAAAAAAATAAAATTCTTTAACGATTGCTTAAAAATATAAAATATAACTAATAAAAAGCGTCTTTATAAAGAAATGTTTTTAATTTGTTTTTAAAAACATTCAGGAATTGATTAATCTTATGCTGTTAGTGCTCTTGTTTGACCTTTAGCAATGTCATGTATTGATGCCAGAATCTCATTGGTTCCTAAGCATCAACCCATAGTATCTTCAACCCTATTGGCCCCTGCAACACACAGCCGAACAGACAAAGTCACAAAGCCACAACAATAAAAAACCAGACATTCTGTAGCAATCGCTCACAGTTTCAACCTTTTATTATGGTAAAGCTTCTTTACTGCATTTTTTCAATCGCGTGTGGAGCGTGTTTTATTAGACAGCAAAGTAAATTTTACAAATCTGGTAATCTGTTCATTATACTGGCTTCTATCTTGACGAGCTGTCAATGTACAAATGAACCGAACCGTGGGAAGCTGTAGTAGCTGTAGTAAGTGCAGTAGCTGTAGTATCTGTAGCAGGTGTTGTAGCTGTAGTAAGTGTAGTAGGTGTAGTATCTGTAGTAGCTGTAGTAAGTGTAGTAGCTATAGTTAGTGTAGTAAGTGTATTAAGTGTGGTACCTGTAGTAAGTGTAGTAGCTGTAGTATGTGTAGTAGCTGTAATAAGTGTGGTAAGTGTAGTACCTGTAGTAAGTGTAATAGCTGTAGTAATACACTTACCACACCTACTACCTTACTACAGATCCTACAGATACTTCACTTACTAAACTTACAACACTTATTACTACAGCTACTACACTTACGACACCTACTACACTTACTACAGCTACAACACCTACTACTGCACTTACTATAGCTTCTACACTTACTACACTTGCTTCATTAGTAGTGATCATGGCATGTGTTTACTACACTTACTTCACTTAGTAGTGATCATGACATGGGTGTGGTCCGGGACAATATACGATGTTTTACATGAAGTACACACCGAACCGTGAACTATCAAGGGGCGTTTTCCAGAATCGTGGGTTTGCGGCCAAGCGTTTCCTCTTCTCCCCCCCCCCCCCCCCCCCCCCCCCCAGGGTGGTGCGCGGGAAAAGTAACGTTTGTTTCAAGATAAACACACCCAAAGGGGCAGTATGAAGGGGGGGTTTCCGCGAACGTGGGGTTTGGGCCCAGCCTTTCCTCTCTCCCCCCCCCCCCCCCCCTTCCCCCTCCAATTTATTTTGGCTCCCGCTCTGACTTTCGCCCAATAACGCGATTGGAAATGCTTGCTACACAGGCTTTCAACTAGAGTCTTCACCGTCATTACCGAGTCAAATAATTTTAAATTATCTCGTTTCCCAAAGTGCGTGCTGCTGAGAACCAGCCAGTAAATAAACAATAGCCTCATTGTTCTCGCGAAAATTGAGAAGCTTTTATTATAAATTGATGACAAGTATAGACCCGTGATCGCATGTCAGTAGAGGAAATTAAATATCAAATCCGCGTCATAAGAAAAGGATTATAACACCTCGATCGGATACTGCCTGAGGTACTCCAAAAGTCCCATGCAGTAAATTGCATGGGACTCTCCAGGATACTTACAGTTCAGGCGATTTGTGTCCCCTCATTCCCTAGATAGAACCCTGCTTCCTTCTTCAGGGTCTTAAATACAAAATGACTAGGTCAAGCTAAGACGTTACAAATGAAATTGAGGATAGCGTGGGATGGGGTCGGGTGCTTGGCCCGGGGGACTTGGAATTTATGGGTGCGATGTAGAACGGAGAAAACGAGCGCCCCGTTCTTTCTTGCGCACATGTTACTTGCAAGGTCCGCAAGCGTAATACATGACTTGCCTTCCAATTTCATTCGAAATATGAAACGGTTGCTGTAAAAATTTACGTTACAAACGAATGTCTCGCCAACAGAAACAGCAACATTAAACAGCAATTAAAGTAACAAGAGACCTGGAGAGTAACGCAATTTGACAATAAAAACGAAGACTAAGTTAACGTCGAGTATGAAGTATTTCAAGGCCCTACTGTGCTTGATATCCGGCCCCAAGCCATTAGAGAAATATGGATCAAGGACATTAATTGCAATAATCTTAACTTCAACTGGCACAATTTCAACCAAAGACGTCCTTAGTGATTTCGTCGATCAGGCAAGTTGACTACTAATTTTGTTGCGGCACGGTTTGCTTGATATGGGTGGAGAGGAGGACAGAGGATTGAACGAGGATGGGGGATAAGACACGTCGAAAAGCCTTCTAGGTTCAACTGGTAAGCTCACCTCTGAACTTTGGTAGCGTGGAACCAGGCTCCGGACTGCGGAAAAGGGAAAAAAAACGGGAGGAGAAGGGGAAAAAAGGAAAAAAAACACTCGGGGAGCGAAACAAGCCCTGGTTCCAGGCAAGAACTTTAGTCAATTTTATCCAAAATAACAAATCCACGAGATTGGCAGGGGTGAACAGGGAAGCAAAAGGGTCAAATTGAACTTTAATAACAACACACCAAAGACAATAAAAGCTACTGGCGTTTTGCTAATAAATCGGACGGACAAGGAGACGTTCTCCTTCTGGGGATTTAATGTTTTATAGAAACAGGAAGTTGTTACAATTCGAATACAGTAGTACGGACAGTTGGAAATGTGATGGTAAGGTAACGTTCAAAAACTTAACGGGCCAATAATGATAAACGTTCATACAAATGAGATAATTTTATTACTAAAAAACAACGAG